TACTGGTTTGGAGCTCTGCAAGGGCCACTTCATTGCAACAGCAGTTCTGCCATTCCTCGAACTTGCCCGACAAGTGAGGAACAAAGTAACCCCGGATTGAGGCTAAGTCACGGGAAAAGGCTTGTTCGGGGTTACTTTGGACATGGATGGCTGCTACTGGTTTGGAGCTCTGCCAGCGCCACTTCAGTGCAAAAGCAGTTCTGCCTTTGCCCGACAAGTGAGGAACAAAGTAACCCCGGATTGAAGCCAAGTCACGGGAAAAGGCTTGTTCGGGGTTACTTTGGACATTGGTGGCTGCTACTGGCTTGGAGCTCTGCAAGCGCCACTTCATTGCAAAAGCAGTTCTGCCTTTCCTTGACCTTGCCCGACAAGTAAGGAACAAAGTATCCCCGGATTGGGGCAAAGTCTGCTTGTTCGGGGCTACTTTTGACATTGGTGGTGGCTGCTACTGATTTGGAGCTCTGCAAGGGCCACTTCATTGCAACAGCAGTTCTGCCATTCCTCGACCTTGCCCAACAAGTGAGGAACAAAGTAACCCCGGATTGAGGCCAAGCCACGGGAAAGGGCTACTGGTTTAGAGCTCTGCAAGGGCCACTTCATTGCAAAAGCAGTTCCGCCTTTCCTCGACCTTGCCCGACAAGTGAGGAAGAAAGTAACCCCGGATTGGGGCCAAGTCACGGGAAAGGGCTTGTTCGGGGTTACTTTGGACATTGTGCTTGTTCGGGGCTACTTTGGACATTGGTGGCTGCTACTGGCTTGGAGCTCTGCAAGGGCATTGCAACAGCAGTTCTGCCATTCCTCGACCTTGCCCGACAAGTGAGGAACAAAGTAACCCCGGATTGAAGCCAAGTCACCAAAAAAGGCTTGTTCGGGGTTGCTTTAGACATGGATGGCTGCTACTGGTTTGGAGCTCTGCAAGGGCCACTTCATTGCAAAAGCAGTTCCGCCTTTCCTCGACCTTGCCCGACACGTGAGGAAGAAAGTAACCCCGGATTGGGGCCAAGTCACGGGAAAGGGCTTATTCGGGGTTACTTTAGACATGGATGGCTGCTACTGGTTTCGAGCTCTGCAAGGGCCACTTCATTGCAAAAGCAGTTCTGCCTTTCCTCGACCTTGCCCGACAAGTGAGGAACAAAGTAACCCCGCATTGAGGCCAAGCCACGGGAAAAGGCTTGTTCGGGGTTACTTTGGACATGGATGGCTGCTACTGGTTTGGAGCTCTGCCAGCGCCACTTCAGTGCAAAAGCAGTTCTGCCTTTCCTCAGTGGCCCTTGCAGAGCTCTAAACCAGTAGCCCTTTCCCGTGGCTTGGCCTCAATCCGGGGTTACTTTGTTCCTCACTTGTCGGGCAAGGTCGAGGAATGGCAGAACTGCTGTTGCAATGCAGTGGCCCTTGCAGAGCTCCAAACCAGTAGCAGCCATCCATGTCCAAAGTAACCCCGAACAAGCCTTTTCCCGTGGCTTGGCCTCAATCCAGGGTTACTTTGTTCCTTACTTGTCGGGCAAGGTCGAGGAAAGGCAGAACTGCTTTTGCAATGAAGTGGCCCTTGCAGAGCTCGAAACCAGTAGCAGCCATCCATGTCTAAAGTAACCCCGAACAAGCCTTTTTCCGTGACTTGGCCTCAATCCGGGGTTACTTTGTTCCTCACTTGTCGGGCAAGATCGAGGAATGGCAGAACTGCTGCTGCAATGAAGTGCCCCTTGCAGAGCTCCAAACCAGTAGCAGCCATCCATGTCCAAAGTAACCCCGAACAAGACCTTTCCCGTGACTTGGCCCAAATCCGGGGTTACTTTGTTCCTTACTCGACGGGCAAGGCCAAGGAAAAGCAGAATTGCTTTTGCAATTTGAAAGTGGTCCTTGCTGAGCTCCCAAACCAGTTAGCTGCCATCCATGTTCCAATGGAAACCCCGACAAGCCCTTTCCGTTGACTTGGCCCCTAATCCGGGGTTACTTGCGGTTCCATTACTTGTCGGGAAGGCCAAGGAAAGTGCAGAATTGTTTTTGCAATGAAGTGGCCCTTGCAGAGCTCCAACCCAGTAGCAGCCATCCATGTCTAAAGTAACCCCGAACAAGCCTTTTCCGGTGACTTGGCTTCAATCCGGGGTTACTTTGTTCCTCACTTGTCGGGCAAGGTCGAGGAATGGCCGCAGAGAACAGCTTTTGCAATGAAGTGGGTGCTCTTGCAGTGCTCCAAACCAGTAGCAGCCACATGTCCAAAGTAACCTCCGAACAAGCCCTTTCCGTAGGGCTTGGCCCAAATCCGGGGGTTACTTTGTTTCCTTACTCTGCGGGCAAGGTCGAGGCAAGGCAGAACTGCTTTTCGCAATGAAGTGGCCCTTGCAGAGCTCCAAACCAGTAGCAGCCATCCATGTCCAAAGTAACCCCGAACAAGCCCTTTCCCGTGACTTGGCCCCTATCCGGGGTTACTGCCTTCCTTACTTGTCGGGCAAGGCCAAGGAAAGGGCAGAATTGCTTTTGTAATGAAGTGGTCCTTGCAGAGCTCCAAACCAGTAGCAGCCATCCATGTCTATAAAGTAACTTCGAACAAGCCCTTTCCCGTGACTTGGCCCCAGTCCGGAGTTCCTTACTTGTCGGGCAAGATCGCGGAAAAGCAGAACTGCTTCTGCAATGAAGTGGCGCTGGCAGAGCTCCAAACCAGTAGCAGCTATCCATGTCCAAAGTAACCCCGAACAAGCCCTTTCCCGTGACTTGGCCCCAATCCGGGGTTACTTTGTTCCTTACTTGTCGTGCAAGGTCAAGGAAAGGCAGAACTGCTTTTGCAATGAAGTGGTGCTTGCAGAGCTCCAAACCAGTAGCAGCCATCCATGTCCAAAGTAACCCCGAATAAGCCCTTTCCCGTGACTTGGCCCCAATCCGGGGTTACTTTCTTCCTCACGTGTCGGGCAAGGTCGAGGAAATGCGGAACTGCTTTTGCAATGAAGTGGCCCTTGCAGAGCTCTAAACCAATAGCCCTTTCCCGTGGCTTGGCCTCAATCCGGGGTTACTTTGTTCCTCACTTGTCGGGCAAGGTCGAGGAATGGCAGAACTGCTGTTGCAATGAAGTGGCCCTTGCAGAGCTCCAAACCAGTAGCAGCCATCCATGTCTAAAGTAACCCCGATCAAGCCTTTTCCCGTGACTTGGCCTCAATCCGCGGTTACTTTGTTCCTCACTTGTCGGGCAAGGTCAAGCAAAGGCAGAACTGCTTTTGCAATGAAGTTGCGCTGGCAGAGCTCCAAACCAGTAGCAGGCACCCATGTCCAAGGTAACCCCGAACAAGCCCTTTCCCGTGACTTGGCTTCAATCCGGGGTTACTTTGTTCCTCACTTGTCGGGCAAGGTCAAGGAAAGGCAGAACTGCTTTTGCAATGAAGTGGTGCTTGCAGAGCTCCAAACCAGTAGCAGCCATCCATGTCCAAAGTAACCCCAAACAAGCCCTTTCCCGTGACTTGGCCCAAATCCGGGGTTACTTTGTTCCTTACTCGTCGGGCAAGGCCAAGGAAAAGCAGAATTGCTTTTGCAATGAAGTGGCCCTTGCAGAGCTCCAAACCAGTAGCAGCCATCCATGTCCAAAGTAACCCCGAACAAGCCCTTTCCCGTGACTTGGCCCCAATCCGGGGCTACTTTGTTCCTTGCTTGTCGGGCAAGGTCAAGGAAAGGCAGAACTGCTTTTGCAATGAAGTGGTGCTTGCAGAGCTCCAAACCAGTAGCAGCCATCCATGTCCAAAGTAACCCCAAACAAGCCCTTTCCCGTGACTTGGCCCAAATCCGGGGTTACTTTGTTCCTTACTCGTCGGGCAAGGCCAAGGAAAAGCAGAATTGCTTTTGCAATGAAGTGGCCCTTGCAGAGCTCCAAACCAGTAGCGCAGAGCTCCAAACAGTAGCAGCCATCCATGTCAAATAGTAACCCGAACAAGCCCTTTCCCGTGACTTGGCCCCTATCCGGCGTTACTGCGTTCCTTACTTGTCGGGCAAGGCCAAGGAAAGGGCAGAATTGTTTTTGCAATGAAGTGGTCCTTGCAGAGCTCCAAACCAGTAGCAGCCATCCATGTCTAAAGTAACCCCGAACAAGCCCTTTCCCGTGACTTGGCCCCAATCCGGGGTTACTTTGTTCCTTACTTGTCGGGCAAGGTCAAGGCAAGGCAGAACTGCTTTTGCAATGAAGTGGTGCTTGCAGAGCTCCAAACCAGTAGCAGCCATCCATGTCCAAAGTAACCCCGAACAAGCCCTTTCCCGTTACTTGGCCCCTATCCGGCGTTACTGCGTTCCTTACTTGTCGGGCAAGGCCAAGGAAAGGGCAGAATTGTTTTTGCAATGAAGTGGTCCTTGCAGAGCTCCAAACCAGTAGCAGCCATCCATGTCTAAAGTAACCCCGAACAAGCCCTTTCCCGTGACTTGGCCCCAATCCGGGTTACTTTGTTCCTTACTTGTCGGGCAAGGTCAAGGAAAGGCAGAACTGCTTTTGCAATGAAGCGGTGCTTGCAGAGCTCCAAACCAGTAGCAGCCATCCATGTCCAAAGTAACCCCGAACAAGCCCTTTCCCGTGACTTGGCCCCTATCCGGGGTTACTGCCTTCCTTACTTGTCGGGCAAGGCCAAGGAAAGGGCAGAATTGCTTTTGTAATGAAGTGGTCCTTGCAGAGCTCCAAACCAGTAGCAGCCATCCATGTCTAAAGTATCTTCGAACAAGCCCTTTCCCGTGACTTGGCCCCAGTCCGGAGTTCCTTACTTGTCGGGCAAGATCGAGGAAAAGCAGAACTGCTTCTGCAATGAAGTGGCGCTGGCAGAGCTCCAAACCAGTAGCAGCTATCCATGTCCAAAGTAACCCCGAACAAGCCCTTTCCCGTGACTTGGCCCCAATCCGGGGTTACTTTGTTCCTTACTTGTCGTGCAAGGTCAAGGAAAGGCAGAACTGCTTTTGCAATGAAGTGGCCCTTGCAGAGCTCCAAACCAGTAGCAGCCATCCATGTCCAAAGTAACCCCGAACAAGCCCTTTCCCGTGACTTGGCCCCAATCCGGGGTTACTTTCTTCTTCACTTGTCGGGCAAGGTCGAGGAAATGCAGAACTGCTTTTGCACTGAAGTGGCCCTTGCAGAGCTCCAATCCAGTAGCAGCCACCAATGTCCAAAGTAACCCCGAACAAGCCGTTTCCCGTGTTTGCAATGAAGTGGCCCTTGCAGAGCTCGAAACCAGTAGCAGCCAGCCATCCATGTCTAAAGTAACCCCGAACAAGCCTTTTCCCGTGACTTGGCCTCAATCCGGGGTTACTTTGTTCCTCACTTGTCGGGCAAGATCGAGGAATGGCAGAACTGCTGTTGCAATGAAGTGGCCCTTGCAGAGCTCCAAAAAAAGTAGCAGCCATCCATGTCTAAAGTAACCCCGAACAAGCCCTTTCCCGTGACTTGGCCCAAATCCGGGGTTACTTTGTTCCTTACTCGTCGGGCAAAACCAAGGAAAGGCAGAATTGGTTTTGCAATGAAGTGGTCCTTGCAGAGCTCCAAACCAGTAGCAGCCATCCATGTCCAAAGTAACCCCGAACAAGCCCTTTCCCGATCCGGGGTTACTTTCTTCCTCACTTGTCGGGCAAGGTCGAGGAAAGGCAGAACTGCTTTTGCAATGAAGTGGCCCTTGCAGAGCTCCAAACCAGTAGCAGCCACCAATGTCCAAAGTAACCCCGAACAAGCCCTTTCCCGTGACCTGGCCCCAATCCGGGGTTACTTTGTTGCTTACTTGTCAGGACTGAGGCAAGGCAGAACTGCTTTTGCAATGAAGTGGCGCTTGCAGAGCTCCAAACCAGTAGCAGCAATCCACCACCATTTGAACAAATCGCATGGCTTGTGGTCAGCCCAACTGGTTTTGCACTGAAGTGGGCTTGACAAGGCCTCGAACCAGTACCAGGCATCCACGACTCCATCCTAGAAAAGTGACCCTGCCGGGGCCCTTTCAAATGGTGTGGTGTCATTTTCGGGTTGCTGAGCGTGTTGTTCTAATGAAACGCCCCTTAAAACGCTGAAAAGCAGTTCCCCCACAATGTAGTCGGGCGTCCTACACCAAAACGTTCTAATCCGTAAACCGCGTAATCCGTAATCCGCTAATCATTGGGGATTAGGTTCTAGCTAGCTAGCTATCTATCTAGCTAGCTACCCCTATCTATTTAGCTAGCTACCCCTGTGTCTCTATCTATCTATCTATCTATCGATCGATCGATCGATCTATCAATGTGTCGATCGATCGATCTATCTATCGATCTATCCATCTGTCTAACTATCGATCTATCTGTGCATAAGTCTATGTGTCTCGCTGTCTATTTATCTGTGTCTCTGTCTGTCGGTTTGTCTATTCATGTATCTGTATCTATGTATCTGTGTATCTATGTATCTAGATGTATCTATGTTTCCATGTGTCTGTGCATTTAAGACATCTATGGATGGATGGATGGATGGATGGATGGATGGATGGATGGATGGATGGATGGATGGATGAACTGGATAAATGGATGGATGGATGGATGGGCGGATGGATGGATTGATGGATGGATGGAGGGATGGATGCATGGATGGATGCATGGATGGATGGACGGGTGGGCGGATGGCAGGATGTAAGCATGGCTGGCTGGCTGAGTGGATGAAGGGACGGATGTATGGTTCTATGGGTCTACGGATCTATAGATCTAAGGATGTATGAATGCAAAGATGCACGGATGTTTGGATGTACAAATGTATGGATGTGTGCGTGTTCGTATGTGTGCGCTTGTGTGCGTATTTGCATGTGTGTGTGTGTGCGCGTGTGTATGCATGTACGTGTATGTGTGTATGTGTGTGCATGTGTGTGTGTGTGTGTGTGTGTGCACGTGTGCATGTGTACGTGTGTGAGTGTACGTGTGTGTGTGTGTGCGCGTGTGCGTGCGTGGGTGTCTGTGTGTGCGAGTGCGTGCGAGACTGTGTGTGTGTATATACATGGGTGTCTATGTGTACGTGTGTGTGTGTGCTTATGTGTGTGTGTGCGTGTATGTGTGAATGTATGTACGTATGTATGTCCGCGTGGCTGTCTGTCTGTGTCTGTCTGTCTGTCTGTCTGTCTGTCTGTTTGTCTGTCCGTCCGTCTGTCTGCCTGTCTGTCTGTCTGTCTGTCTGTCTGTCTATTTGTATGTTTGTACGTCAGTATGTGTATGTTTGGTGTATGTTGGTATGTTTGTATGCATGCATGCATGTAACCTGATATAATGTAATGTATTGCAATACTATATACACACATGCAATGCAGGGCAATGCAATGCCATGTAACCGAATGAAATATATTGCAACATACATGTACGCACGTAGGTCGGTAGGTGTAGGTATTCATGCACAAATGCATGCATGTGCGTATGGTATGTATGTGATGTTTGTTGTGCGGGCTATGTATGCTAGCTACGCATGTTACGAGTGGTACAAGAACCGTTTGGCATGGTACTGCATGGTATGTATATGTCTATATCTATATCTATATGTGCATTTGCTATTTGCATTTTGTATGCATACTTGTTGCAGTAACCGATCTGTGGTGCCACCCCCTGTGAGGTGCAGCGTGGGACCCTGGCACCCTGGGCACGACAGCGGCCTCAGAGGCTTTGTAGCTGGCGTCGTCAAAGCACTGCCGCGCCTGGTCAATGTGAATGTTGATAGAGGGGCCCCCACAATGGCGGTTTTGCTTCTGGCTTTCCTTTAAACCAAACTAAAAATGGCACCCTCAAGAAGAACAGTAGAGTACGCCAGCTCAACCACAAGAACATAGAACATATATCATTGTGGTTTGCATTTGTTGGAAAAGTGTGAAAAACCATGTTTTCGAAACAATGCACATATTGAAACAGATCAATTACAATGTCTACCTGGAGTCTTATTTTTTTAGTACGAACGTCTTGCCAAATAAGATGATGATCAACACTTGGTTTTTATAGTGATTAAGTATACGCTATTAAGGAACGGTTGCTTTTTATCTTGAATCAATCGAACTGAGATTTGAGTTTCCGCTGGATCTTCACCCTCTTTAAGGGGCAGACAAATTACAAACGACAATACTCTGTACGCTTGATTTGCGTCAATCTAAAAACTTACTAAATTTAAATTAAAACTATGCTGGGCAAAGAACTTTTATTCAACGTTAGCTTGAGATACCAATTCTACATGATTCGTGCCCTTTTTAAGTGTTGTTTAGAATCTAATCAAGCTTTCGTCAAACTCCTGCGCAGAGGAGTCTTAAGATTGGCATTCGGAGCTCCCATTTTAAATACCAATGCCACAAGAAATCACAAAGTATTCCATTGGTGTCAAACATTTCTGGCCCCTTGGCGTTCAGCAAAACAGGTATTATTCTTATCAATATTTGTTGGTTGTGTTAAATAAAAAGAAAACAAAACAAAAATAAAAACAATGGCGCCCAAATAGAGCTACTACTTGCCCTCTCACCAAATGACATGGAAGCTGACGTTCGGGGAATCGGTGAAGGTTTGGACCAGTTTGCTTGAAAGGGACCGGGTCCCGAATGTCAGGTTACATTTTAATTGGTGGCAGGATAACCAAATAGAACGGACAGGACCATTCACTGCAACTCAAGTGAGAAAAAGCGACTTTAACACCTGGGCTTGAAGGGGCCGGTCGATGCCGAGTCAAAGTCTCATAGGGCTGACTTGTCCTATGTCAACCCCGAAGTTATCAACGTGGCAGATCAATAGGTCTGTTCCCAAAGTGATCCGGATGTCCTTTCAATGGGACATCCCTCCAGTCAACATCTGGAGGTTTCTTGATTTTGGGTTGCCATGAGGTTGTATATTGCATTTTGAATGGTACCCCCAATCAACATCAAGCAGGTCTTTACTTCCCTGCAGATTAACATGAAACTTCAACAAAAAGGGGGTTTCTCAAGAAAAACATCCTCCTAACATGCTGGTTTGTTGGGTTTTCATATTTATGCAGGAGCAATTTATGCCACATACATCTGTCTGTGCGAGGGGCTACCTCAAATTTACGATAAAGACGAATCAGTCTGTAAAAACCAACTCAGCTAATGCTGACCCCGGATTGACAAACCCCTGCTTATTCATATGGGGGGTTCCCCTCCAAAAGTGGTCTGAATCCCCACTGAACCAGGTTGACACCCCCACATGAATCTGCAAATTGTACTATAATTCCAAAAGCTGAATTAAGAATTGGATCCCCAAGAAAAGGATCCTTTATCATGGCTTTCGCTCGTTCTACCCCAGCTCATCGGTGAGCTTGCTACAACCTCCGTTTGCTTAAGTCCCCTGGAAAAAATGGGCATATGTCCAGTAGTGCTAGATATCCTTTCAAATCAACAAGGGGAAATTCAATACCTATTCTTTTGGCCATGGGTCATAACTTATGCCTCCATTTTGGGGCGGATGAACACCCATGTACCACCTATTTTTGATGTTCACCAGGAGTACAGGGTTTTGACAAGCACAGCCATTTCAGCCAATGGAAGATCAACCAGGCCGAACTAAATACCCCAGGGCCTTCCGGCCAGCGCCGAAAGGAAGCGGAAGCTCCGAAGCCGCCGCGCGCCTGATCTGCCTTGGCCATGGCCTGAAGCGCCGCAGTCTGGCCCTTGTAGTGGCCCAGCTGCGCGAAGATCTTGATGGCCTCTCAGACGGGTGTGTCGACTCTTTTTTGTTGGGATCCCAAATGGATTAAAAAATGGTGCTCTTGTCTGTTTTTTGTTTCTTCCCGTGTTGGGCCGTTTCTTTTTGTAGATCCCCAAAATAATGGTGATGTTCAATTTGGGCCGGTTTGTTTTTTAGTGGGGATCCAAAATGGTGGTTTCCTTGTTGGTTCTCCTTTAAAACAACCCGAAAAGAGCTACACTCTAGAAAAAAACAAGTAATAAAAAAGGGGGAAAAAAAAAACAATTCCGACCGAAAGCAAGACTGAGCTGCAAAAAGGTCTCGACACCATCAGTAATGGTACAACTCCTGGGGTGTTGCAAGGTTCCAAACTTTTTGGATCTCAGCCACCTCGTAACAAAAACAAAAGCCAGGCATGCGACGTTCAGGGCCCTGGAATTGACCTCGAGGAAGACTTCTGACATGTCAGGTTAGGTGTGCTTTTAGAACTGTTTTGTGGAGATCACCTGGATTCCGCTGATTCCAGTGTCTCATCAAGTACCATCTATTCTAAAAGGACGATAACTCACACTTCCCTACCCAACACCCCGTGATTTGTGGGTCAAAGGTTGGATCTGATCTGGACCCAAAACCTTCGAGTCCTTTGAGGTCTTGGGGCGTAGCCCAAGGATCTGGTGGCTCCCGAGCAGTGGGAGATGAACCTGTACGATTCAAAAAGGGCTTTCCAAAGACTAACCCCCATACTGTGGATGGAAGAAATCCTGCACCATTCAGAGGCCCTGGAACAATGATTCCCCGTCAATGGTTTCAACCATGGTTTCAGTTTGGTGCAGGATTTTGTCCATCCACAGTATTTCTGGAGGATCCCTTGTATCACGAAGTGGTTGGGGCTCAACCCCTTGAGTGATGCCACAACCCTGTTCCCTGGGACTTCACCGAGAGGTACTCACCTTTGACCCAGGCGATGTTTAGAACACAGCTTCTTCTCATGGGCGAATTGAATCCCTGGGAAGCTTCCCCCTGGCGTTCAGTTACCACCATTAAAACCATGGGGGTTCACATAACCAAATTGCGCCTTGCCATTCTTTTAGTGGGGGCAAGGAACCCTAGGGTTCCAGTAGAAAAAAACGCCAAATCGCTCGGGACGGTCAAAGTTGGCTGTGGCTCGAAAAGATGTACCAACAAGGCACCTTGGTAGATGGAACCAAAGACTAAAACCTGCGTAACACTGGCTCTTTAATTTTGAGCCACACCCAGTTCCGCGACTCAGCGTCCGTCCTGGGTGGCCGCTTGGGCACTCTCCTGGGGGTTCAGCTCCAAGCTGCAAGCGCTCAACGCCAGCAGCGCGGTGGCCTCGCCTCGGGGAACTTCGGAGTTCGCCGGCGTCGGCGTCCTGGTGGCTTTCCTTGAACATGGTAGGGTTCCGGATTTCTCTTCCTTCAAAACATTTGAGGGGGAACACATCCTCTATGAATCCGCCCGTGACTACCCAACCACACACGGGGTACCCTCAAAATAACGCAAATAGACATGTTCCCTCGTTTGGGATGGTTTTCAGGGCAAACCCAAAAGGATGCCAATCACCTATGCAAACAAAGGTACAGCAGTCACCGACACACACACACACAAACGCACACGGGCAAACTGCCACACAGATACACTGGCATTCCAACAGTATACACTAAATGCCAGCAAACTGACCCGCTGCCAAACTAGCACACAGATTGACACAGACACATAGACACACAGTCACACAGGCACGCAACAACTGTCACACACACACACACACACCACCCCACCCCACCCCACCCCACCCCACCCCACCCCACACCACAATACAACACAACACATACCACACACCAACACACACACACAAACACCAGCAGATTTGTACGCATGTAAACCACACACACACACACCTGCACACATACACGCACTCAACCGCACGACGCATATAACACACAGAGGCAACAAACACAAACAATCAGAGACACAAACACACACGTCCCGAAACAAAAACACACACACACACACACACACACACACACACACACACACACACACACACACACACACACACACACACACACACACACACACACACACAAACACACAAACACACAAACACACACACACACACAAAACAAACAAACAAACAAACAAACAAACAAACAAACAAACAAACAAACAAAAACACACACAAAACAAACAAACAAACAAACAACCAAACAAACAAACGACACCAATGAGACAGAAATGGGAGGGGTGGGCTGTCTGGACAGCTATACCGCGGACCTTGTCGAAAAGAAAAGGGTTCTTGGAAGGGCTCCGCCAAAATGATCTTCGAAGGGTTCCTCGAAGCGCAAACTCAACAAGTATCACAACGGTTCCGCAGAACCAGAAGTTCCGAATCCATTCCTGAAATCATGCGCAGGTTTTTGCCCAACTCGCGAAAAACTTTGTGGAAGGCCCGCGGCGCCGGAAATCCAGACCCACGCCCCTTCCCGAAACCTTCTGAACCAACAAACAAAACCAACCAACCTACCTGCCTACCTACCCACCAAGCACACAGACAAACAAACGCACAAGCAAAGAAACACACCACGACACAAGCAAACAAGCAAGCAGGCAGGCAAGCAAGCAGGCAAGCAAGCCAGCCAGCCAGCCAGCACGCAAGCAAGCAAGCAAGCAAGCAAGGAACACAAAGAAACACATGCGCGATGCATCTAGATTCAGTAGAACAAGCAAACAGGGAAACAAGCAACACAAAGGATTGACTTTGCAAGCCAACAGGTATACCCTCCCTCCCACTAACATGGCACTTGACAGGGACCCGGTCCCTTCAACAAGAGGTTGATCTTCACCAAAAGTTTAACTTTTGGGTTAATTTCAGAAACCCAATCACTAACCAATTGGGGCTTCACAGAGATCAAGGCATAATTATCCTTATAAAGCGTCTCGATCAATCTCGCCATCAGAGTTCATGGGAGGAAGGGCAAGTTCGGCTTGCAGACCCGGACATCCCCCCTGCCGTAGGGAAAAGGGGGGTGGGGGAAAAGGCCCCCAATTCCATTTATCTAGTCTTCCCAATAACAGGGAACATGGACCCAGAAATGGATTTCCCCTCCCCTCAATTCCACTTTTCAGGGGGTGGGGAGACCCGTACACCTCTTTTTTCCGGATATCGCTTTTCTGGCGCGGGTTCCGAGCCGAGGGCCAGACATTCTGGGAGCTCAAGGCCACGGAAGATGCTGAGGGCCTCCTTGGAATCCTTCACCGCGTCCTCGCTTCGGCTTTTCTCTCATTTCTAGGGGTTGATTCGAGTCCTTTTCCATTCTTTTCAACCATCGTTCTTCTCAAAAACCGGATTTGTTTCCCCTGCGTGTTGGGATGGGTTCCTGAAAAGAAGGATGACTGGAAAGAATGTGTAAGGTACCCCTAGATCTTTGGGCGGCTCGTCTTTTTGTTCGGGGAATCCCCCAAATGATGGGGTTTCTTTTGGTTTCCGTTTAAAACCACCCCAAAATGGGTGCCCTCAAAAGAAGACATACTCATGTTTGTTGTTTTAGTTTTTTGTTTTTCCCCCTTTTTCCCCGGGCCTAAGGTAAGTGATGAATGGCAGCAAACAACTTGACCTTTCTCTTGAAAGGTCCCTTGGTACCTGTTGAGTGCAGTACCTATTCTTGGAACCCACACAAGTCCTTTCAAATCTTTCAAGGCATCCGGGCCCCATGGCCGCAGTGCCTGATTGCCAGCTCCATGGAAGTATCAATCACATTCAATTGGCTCAGTCTGGGGGCCTGGACAAGTGCCCTGTCTAAAGGAAACACTTGCATGACCTGGGGATACAGCAGCTCAGCGGGGGAAGAAACAAAGCAGCAGCAGGCTGACTGATTGCAGCTTGCGCAAACAACAGCAAACAAGCATCAAGCAAGTCAGTGTTCAACCATGCTGACGTACAAGGAAGCTTCAAGCAGACTTCCTCTGAAAGCGCATGTGTCGCCTCAACAAATCTAAGTAAATCAGTGAGCTTCCAGAATCATGAGATGTTCATGCCATCGTTCCCATTTAAAAAGCCTCCTTGTTCTGGCTTCTACTCACATTTGACCAGCTGCCTGCTCTGCCGCGGGAAAGCTACACGTGGTTTCAAGGTGACTCTTGCAGAACAAGTAATGAGGAAGGCTTTGGCCCCACCCGAGCAGGGATCTTTAAGTTAAGTGTTCTGCAAGTACGCGTGTTTCTTTTCACTGAAAAAGACCATGAGACACAAATGTTTGACAAAACACGCCCACTCCGATGGGAAATCGGCACCTGGCCATGGGTCATAACCTATGCCTCCACTTTGGGGTGGATGAACACCCATGTACCACCTATTCTGGCGTTCATAGGGTTTTGACAACCACAGCCACCTCTTTTTTCTGTAGTGTATTTCACCGGAGCTCCTGCTGCTGAGGCGGCTCCTGCGCCAGCTGCCCCAGCGCTGCACGCACCAAGGCGGTGGCCCTGACAGCCATTTGGGTATGCATCTGGTTGATGAGTTTTAAAGGAAAGCCAAAAGGAACCACATAATTTGAAAGACACACAGACAGACCCTAAAGGCCCAAAGAAGAACACCCATGTCAAATAGGAATTCCATCAAACGGGTCATCAATCACATCCCGAACCTGAGTGTTGATATGTTTTTTAACCTTAAAACCGGTTTGTTCCAACCCCAAAAGGGTTTATGACCGCCAGGTTACCCTTTGTTTAGCACAACAAACACGCAGGACACCCGGTTCTTCAGCCACTGCACCCCTTGAAGACCCCCGTGGTTGTGTGTTGTTAAGCCCGCAAATGGGTTGGGGGTCAAACCTGCGTCCGCCACGATGCGCGGGGCAACCAATTGCAACTGCGCAGAAGTGGGCCGTGGATTCATGGGGTTGCTTCCCCGAAAAGTGGTCCGGATCCCATCAAAAATCGGAGGTCAGAATTCTGATATTACATGAAGACGTATTTGGTGGCTCATCTTCTTTTGAGGGCACCCCTTTCTTTGTGGTTCAATTCAGTGGGAACCAACAGGAAACACCCATCATGTTGGTGGATCCCCCAAAAACACCCAGATCCTCAAGCGCTTGTTTTGGGGCCCCCGCCTGGCTTTAGGCTCGCTGGAAGCGGAAGGCGCCTCAAGTTCCTGGGCGAGGAGCAGATTTCCGGGCGGCACATGAGGTTTCCACTACCACCAAAGACGTTTCCCCAAGCGCGGGGGACCCAAACACTATATAACCACCATGAACAGGATATATACATCCTGATGCGCCCTGGTGCTAGTGGTTTTGGGTAGTGGAAAGGATCTCAGAGAAATGAACCCGTGCGTCACTTTTGGCTTCCTTTTGGGGGATACACCCAGGTCCGTTCCCAAAACCCCTAAGAATGCGAACGTGTCAACCCCTGGGTTGATTTTCCGGGGTGCCCCACTTCCAGAGAGCATCTACGAGTTGATTAATTAGGAGGCATCCCCTCTAATGGGGCGGAGACTTGGCTGTGGCCTCACACAACTTGGTTGCTGTTGACCCCCTGCAAAAAGTTTAACTTTTTGGGGGTTTAGTGGAAAACGCCTTGATTTTCCAAAAAGTTGAAGTCTAAAGATCCAACCTAATAGCAGTCAAGACAAGTGCATCTGGTTGATTCTGTTTGATCCGTCCGGTTGAAGTAAGGTGGGCTACATGCGTCGCACCCTTCTCCCCAACACATGATTTTAGGCTAGCTTGCTTCCATACCAAGAGGGGGGATCCAATTTCGACACATATGGGCAGACTGTGTTTGTTTTGATTAAACGGGAAGAGCCATGTGTACCATGGCCCAAACGCCGGCAGGTATGAGTCGATGGTTGCCCTTTTCCGTGGGAACCATCTTGGCTGAATTGCAAGGGGGAGTCCCCGCGTTAGTCTGTAGGGGAGTATTAATCATCTCACCAAGAATAAGGTTCCTCCTACAAAGAACCTTCATCACGGGTGAGGCCGCAAATCCCGTTGTCAAGTTTTCCCTATGGCAACCTTTCTGCAAGAAAGAACACGATCATACACACACGCACAACGACGTGACAGGAAAACTCAGAGCCAAGTCATGTTGCTAGCCTCATCTCTCGTTCTTCCGCAAATCCTTTTTCGATTTCCAGTTGTTGCTACGGGCGACTATCATGACCTTACAGAACTGCTGGCTCCGAAACGCTCCCAGCCTTTCAGATTTGGATACATCCAGCTTCGAGTCCGGTCAGCAGGGACTGAGGGAATGAGCCCCTAACCGTCCAACTGGTTGTTAAGGGAATCCCCAAAGTCATTCCCTCCCTGAGTGGATTGGCCACACGAGTTATGGACTTGTTGTGGTTGTTACCACTAAAATGCTCTTTCCGAAATGCTATGTTATGAACTTGTCATCTATACCGCTAAAATACACTAAAATGCTCTTTCCGAAAAGACTCAAGCCCATGAACTCAGGGCAGTGAGTCTCTGGCCCAGCTTGGTCCAGCACTCGAACCCATCGACGCGGCGAAGCGAAGCCGCGCCTCGAGCGGACGCTGGCCGCTGAGGCGCGCCACGCTGGGCGTCTCCAGGCGCTCCGACCACAAGGCGCCCAAGGCCTCCCACTGCGACGCCGGGGTTTCGCCCGGGAGTTCCGGAAGAACAGGAGGGCTTTCTCAGTGGACCCTCCCAATTCCCGTAAGCATGGGTGATCGCCCCACAATTGTGGTTGGTGAATCCCTTTTTGTGGGTAGTTAGACTCAGTTGTGCAGTGACTCTGGAAAAGAAAAAGGGGAACTCTTTTTGGGGAAGACCATTCTTAGTGGGGCAGCCACCCAAAAAAATGCGAAAAAGGGTGCCACTGAGCAACTGAGCTTTCTTTAAAAGCAAAATGGGGGAGGGGGGAAGAACGATTGGAAGGTGGTTCTTTGGGGGGTGGGGTGGGGTGGGGTGGGGTGGGGGTGGGGGTGGGGGTGGGGGTGGGGTTAGGTTGGCTTGCATAATTATGATATTCATTATAGTTGCTTGATATTGCACACCCTGTGTGTGTGTGTGTGTTTTCTGTTTCCTTCAACGCAAGTCAGTTTGCAGCTGGGTGTTTCTCAAAATAGGAATCGGTCCCTGTAGTGCAAATATGTGGCTTCCCATCCATGCAGAGTACGGAATCAAGTCAACTGGCAGGCCTTGCTGGAGGTGTCTCGATGCAACAAGTCAAAGACTGTATCATACTGTGGATGGACGAAATCCTGCACCACCCAAGAAACCCCGGAATGATTCGATTCTGCTGTAAATACCAACACACAATGGTTTCAACCATGGCTTCCAAGTGATGCGAACGGATTTCGTCCATCCACAGTAGAATTACCCTCCCAATTAACATGGAGCCTGACGTTCGCGGCCTGGACCCAGTCCCCACAGGAAAATGGTCCCAACCAGGACCCCCCGAAGATCAGCTTCCATGTTAACGAGTGGCAAAGTAGCCTTTGGCCCTTTTGCCCTTGTTGGGGTTCCTTCATTTTCCCTGTCAGGCGCAAATTCAACTGTTTTGTAGGGGGGCGACGTGAATTCCCTGATGTTGGTTTAGTCATCCCCTTCACGTTTCCACGGGAATTGTGTCATCTATTGAAGTGCAACTGTATGCGCATTGCCCATCTACTGAAACCGTGCCAATGAATTTCAGACACCACTGGGAGTGGTGCCCAGCCTGCCATGTATTTTTTTGAAGCGGGTTGCCCTTGGAAGTCAGCTAAGTCCGTTTGCTGAAAATAATTGGTCATTTCCCCCGTGTTGTTTTTCTCATTTGTCCAGGGGCCAAAAAAGCAAATGAAGGATTCTCAAAGAAAAACTTGTGGCCCTTGCTTTCCCATGGGTTGCCCCCCCATGTGTTGTTTACAGAAAGCCCCCAAAGAACCAACTTCCAACCGACTTCACAACCAACCAACTTCCAACCGACTTCACAACCAACCAACCTACCTACCTACCTACCAGCCAGCCAACCAGCCAGCCGGCCAGCCAGCCAACCAAACAACCAAAGCAACCAACGCGCTAGCTGAGTTCATCAAACATCAGGTTTGGCCGACCCTCCACAAGCGCACTACCTCAGACACACCCTGAGAACAACTTAGCCGTTTCAGGGGCTGTCTTCGTGAGTTGGGCGGTGACATACTCTTCAGAAGCCCACAGTGCGTTGACCTTGTGGATCGAACGTCTGACCACTCCCCACCTGCAACCAGCCGCAACGTCTCTTCTCAAAGTGACTCCAGCTCAACGCAAACGTGTTCCTCTTTCTCTTTTTACAAAAAAAAAAAACCTGCTGATTGCTTTGGCTCCCTATACGGACCTGGGTACACTAGAAGACCCACCCGGCCTCTGCAGGCTGCAAGAGCTGCGGGGTTGCCAGGCGCGCAGCCGCCAAGCAAGCGGTCCACGCCTCCTGTCTCCAAATCACTCCCCCCCACCAGGAACTGACATGGACGGTCACCCAAAAATGGATTCCTCTAAAAACCGTGGCCTTTGTGGTCCTATCTTAATATGTAGCGTATTCTGTGAACTCCGTTTTTGAATGAGTTGGGATCAATATTGTGCGAATGTGCAAACCTCTCGGTTCTCATCTAAACCAATTCACCATCAGACTAAGCTGAACCGAACCCCCTCAAACAAACAAACAGTTGGCGGGGCAGAGTCCCTTTTGCTGGTGTCCAGTTTCCGCTCCAAAACTCTTCCCGTCAGTCGCTGAATGTTTCTACTCGACTGCGCCCAAATCACACAAAAAACGCAAAAGGTGTTGCCATTCCTGTAAAGAAAGGGCTCTTGGGTTCCATGCTACTCTGCAGGAGTCTGCCAGGAAGGCAGCCGAGTCCGTGGCGTGTCAAAGGGAGCTGGATGAGTTGAAGGGGATCAAGATGAAACTCAAGTTGTTCAATTTGGACAAGGGAACCCTTTTTTGGTTTTTTTTAGTGTGGAAGCCATCACAACAAAACACCCCAAGGGATCCCCTACCAAAAGTTTACCTTGCAGCAGGTGACATGGAACTCCCACCACCCCAAAGCAACCTAAAACAACTCCAAGAACCCCCACCTGAAACCGAAAGATTCCACCCTGAGACCTAAACTGGCTGAGTGGTCGCCCCACTTGACCTGGAGCCCAACCCCCAGCCCAGTTTTCGCCGGAGGCACCGGACCAGAGGCCTGGATCCCGCTCAGGAGGCAAACCTCGAGGCGCTTGGCGCTTGCCGTGGAGAGTGGGCAGTCGGTTTGGGAACCTCCTTTTGTTTTCTCGGCAGTGGTGCTTCTTGGCGCCAGTGACCACCGGTTTTGGTAAAAAACAAAAAAAAACGTGCTGACAGGGCTGTCAGGGAGAGAGAGAAGTCATTGGGTAGTTTTGACCATTTGGAGTTGGCTTGGGGTGGTTTTCGTGCGGGTCTGTTTGGCTTATCGTGGGTTTGGGATGGTTTAGGGTGGGCTTAGGGTGGGTTTAGTCTGTTTGCCGACGATGCCTCAGCTCCAAAACAAAAGACAAAACGGAACTGGGGGGGCTGGGAAATACATGGGTGTTGTTTAAGCCTACCCTTTTTCAAGGTTAGTTTGGGGGATATCAAGGAAAGCCGCAATTTATGTGGGGTGTCCGTCTTTTAACACACACACACACAAACACACAAGTGACTGGCTTGTTCAAAGTCTATAAGTTGAGGTTCTTAAGTGGAGTTGTTTGCTCTTGGGATTCTACTTATGCTGCTCACAGAATTGAGGTTGTTTGGCAGTTTCGAGTCGTTGGTTTCAGAGTTGCTCAAGAGTTGTGCCTGTATTCGTCCTGTTCGCTCGGAAAACAATAAAATCTCTTATTCTGCGGGTCCCCTTTTCACGCGCCATGGACAACACCAAGGAACAATTGGGCCCACAGCCCCCTCATTGGGCCACCCGATCCGTTTCCGACGAGTGGACCGATTTGACAATGCTCAATCACGAAACAGGGCAGCCTCAACATGGAAACTCGAAAAATGGGTCTGGTTTCCCTTCGGTTTCCGGGGTTTCAGAAAGAACTCTGGCCGGTCCCCTGAGCCCCACACCGTCTCGCTCCAGGTGGCTTCAATCGCCACCAGCGGTGCCAGAAGTTTCTGCGCCTACCACGGCTTGAGCGAGCTGTCGGTGGCAAAACAAAGGGAAGGCGCGTGGCTAACACAACTGAGTTTCTCAAGTAAACTTGTAAACGTGCATATATATATATATGTATATTCACATACTACTATATATATATACATAGATATATACATGTATAGACATAACGGTGTTCAAATGCGAGTTGTGCACACACACACACACACTCACAGAACACCCGCACCCAGCCACACACACACACACACCCTAAGCAGCCAAAGAAGTGGGACACCTGTCAACAAAACATATTGTAAGGCGGGGGAACAAATGCACTGAACAGCAACTTAGTATTACTTGTTGGGCAGCACAAGTGGGGCGCCAAACCGTGAAAGAGACGGACAACAAACTTTGGACATGCGGGCTGCTAGGCCAAGAGATGACACTGGATGTGTTGAACAGCCAAGGAATAAGCCACTTCTAGCTGACAACAAACACGGAGAATGACAACGGACGACAAAGGACAAACAGAAACAACCATAACATGTTCCACGATTCTAAACGCCTTGATGTTGTCAAAAGATAAACCAAGTTAGTTAAGAGGCACATGGGCTCCCCGGATGTTGTACTCAAAACCACTGTAAAAACGTGCGTTGTCAAACAAAGCCAGACCCGAATCTGAAAACACATTCAGATTTCGCTTTGTTGCCTTTCAAGCTGAAACAAGCAAACATTTGCTGTCATATAGAAGGTACAACACCAACAATAGCACTGTATTGTACAGTGTTTTCAGGCATCTGCAAGATCGAGGCACACGGAGTAGACTTGACACCTTCAACTAGAAGAGGGGAAAGGTAGCGGGGGAGGGGGTGACCATATGTATATATATATATATATTGTCGCCCCCCCCAGGGCCTACCTTTGCCCTCTTCTAGTTGAAGGTGTCAACTCTACTCTGTGTACCTCTTTCTTGCAGATGCCTGAAAACACTGTAAAATACAGTGTTGTTGTTGCTTTTTACCTTCTATATGACAGCAGATGTCTGATTCTTTGAGGCTTGAAAGGCAGCAAAGCGAAAACGGATTCCGTTTTCGGCTTTGTTTGAAAACACTGGTTTTTACAGCGGTTTTGAGCACACTAGGGAAAAACATTGAAAAAGACGGCATCATTGTTCAGGTCCTGGAGCATCCTTGCCGTGGCCTGCCAAAGGTTTTCACCTTTGTGCCAATAGCACCACTGGGCTGACCGGATGTGGCGTGTCAGCGCCGGAGAGCCAGGAGTCCGATTCACGTGCTTGATGTGTTGCCTGAGAAACCCGAACCGGTCAATGATCTGGGTACCCGACTTCGTGGTGAGCTGCTTCCCGTCACTCATTTTCAACTTGTAGATCTTCGTGTAGCGCGGCTTGACCCAGGTTGCCTTGTTGTTCACGTAAATCTTCTTCTTCTTGTGCACTACATTGCAGCACATCACCTCAGGCAGCTTCAATTTGTAGGCACGGGCCCCGTCGGTGTGCAGCACCACCTTCCTGTTGGCGAGGATCTTCTTCCCAATGGCCATCCAGTCTCGCTTGCGGATTGGCCCGGGTCCAGGGGCACGCCTGCGCGTGATAGCTGGGTTGAGTCTGAAGAGGCGCAAGGACTGTCGCCGACCACGCTCGACAATGCCCGCCCACTGCTCCCACTTCAACACATAGGTCTGTTTCTTGGGAGTCTTCATCTCACCCTTGCCCAGGTCCACCTCGTCCGCCTCCACGTCCATCCATCGCGTGGTTCCTCCGTAGGCAATGCTCTTCTCCTTCTTCACGACGTGGCGGGACCTCGCCACATCCAAGTTAGCGTAGATCCTCTCTACGATCTTGTGGTCAACATCCAGGAGAAGGTGTGCGGCATCTCTTTGCACACCCGTAGTCGCGCAGAAGAGGATCGCAGCCTGAGTGCCCAGTGGAGTAGTGGATGAGCCGGACCCTTCGCAGAAGTTGGGGTGGAAGTCCTCCGCGCGAATTCGGGCTTGGCATTTCTTGGCAGAGCAACGATGGATCCACTGAGATCGATCCTTCCGGTACTCCAGCTTCCCAGCGTGCCACGGCCACACCTGGGGCATGTCTTGCCCTTCCATTCTTGCAAGATGCCATCCTTCCGGAGCAGCTTGATCAACTGAAGCCCACGCACAGAGAGAAAATCAAGAATGGATCTGCCCCATCTCGCCCTGTGAGGTCGAGACTTGGTGGTCGGCTGGCCATGCCGCACATACTGCACCTTCTTGTAGCTGGGATTTTTGTTGGCAGCAGGACTCTTCAAAGCTCTTGCCTTCCCCGTGTAGGGGCGGGCCAAGGAGCATTGGATTTCTTCATAGCAGTGATGACACACACACACACAATCATCAACCTTTTAGGACCACATGCCCAAACCACATCAAAAAGGCCTCAAATGAGTGTGTTTCTTTTCTCAAACAACAGGCTCCACTTGCTACGCAATAAGCCTACAGAAGGTTTATAAACTTTCAGTAAATTTTATAAACCTTATTGAGTGTTTGACGAGTTTCCCGCATCAAGGCAACAACACCCTACGAAGTGTTCATGGTATCGTTGAAGGATGGGGGGTGGGGGGGGGGGTGGTTGGAAGTCTTGGGGGGGAGGGGGGGGGTGGTTGGAAGTCTTAGCAGTGAGGTGTGACTCAGCCAACTTTGTAAAGACTTCTCAGTACCCCCCCCCCTCCCCCCGTAAAGAGTTCTGACCCCCCCTTCCACCCCCCTGCCCTTGTTGCAGGGAAACCGTCAAACCCTTGACATGGTTTATATACTGTCTTGAAAGTTTATAAACTCTTTGCTGTTGTTACTCAACATGACTTGGTCACCCACAAAAAATATGCAGCAACAGCACACTTCTTGCGTATATATGCTCACACCCCCTGTCTTTAAAAATAAGAGGGTTTTGTACATTTTGAAGTGGAAAGGTAGGCCCTAAGGGGGGGAGCATATATATATATATATATACACGACACAACTGTGTTCAAATGTGAGTACTGCGATCAGGGCAACACATATATATATATACTATGTATATATATATATATATATATATGGGACAACATGTATCATATATGTGTACACATAAACTATAATCTATAAACGTTAACCATGTACGCACGTCGTACACGCACACTCGCAGCACACCCACACCCATCCACACACACACACAAACTCTCTGAGCAGCCGAGGAAGTGGGAAACCAGACAACAAAATATGGCAAGGCGGGGGAACAAATGGACGGAACAGCAACTTATTCCTCCTTGTTGGGCAGTTTAAGTGTTTAAGTGGGGTGCCAAACTGTGAAAGAGAGGGAAAACAGACTTTGAGCTGTGGACACTGCTGCACTGCTGCTTGGCAGAGATGACAACGAATAGGCCACTTTTAGCTGAAACAAACGAAGAAGAACGACAAAGGACGACCAGGAACCACCATGACCACAACATGACACATGTCTGAATGTATTGATGGTTTCACTTGATAAACCCAATTCCTTTTCAGGGGCACCTGAGCTTGCCGGGGATGTGATGCCATGCCAACGAACTCTTCCTGATGCCTCAATAACAAAACATATTACTTGTCATTGCTCCACTCTGATCCAACAGAACATAGTTGGGAGAATCAAATCTACTTGGGGGAACAACGAAGGTGGACATCATTCAGATTCAGATGCAAATTGGTGATTAGCGCTCTCGCGAACTATTTGTGAGGGTTTTCCATGAACTCTATTGCCCTGTCGTACAGTCCGCCTCTGCAGTGTTGCAGGCATCGCAAAGGCTCAAAGCCACTTGCCCGGCGGCTTGCCGGCAGGGGTGCCGCCTCAGTCACTCGGGAAGTTTGGAGTCGGTCCACCAAGTTAAACCTGGTCTCAAAACTGTCTAATTAAATGCACGCAAGAAGATTGAACGGCGGCCGCAACTATCCCTGGAATTCTCCCACACTTACCTTCACCTACCCGGGTTTTGAGCAAGTGGCTCAGCCAGGGTTTTGGGTTTAGGATTTCAACTGATCTTTCTCCGTGGAAAAGACAGCAGAGCGGCATTGGGGTTCCAAAATAAGAAGAGTGGCTCGCAGATTCTGCGAATGTCCAAACTCCTTGGTACCCAGACCTTGCACTGAGTATCTCGACTTGCTTGGATCTGTTTACCTTGCCTTGCCTTGTCTTGCCAGGGTTCCAACTCAGAAACAAACGGTTTGTGGATTCCCTCCCGGCGAAAAGCTTGGGAGGCAGAAGCCTTCGACTGGGGTTGTTCGACGCGGATCGCTCCGGGCACAGGGCGAGTCATATCTGGCGTCATTTTTTCTGGAGCTGTACCCCAGCTTTGGTAAGATTTAAAGGGAACCTAAAAGACAACCACCAATTTTGTGGGTATCCTATCTTTAGACACACCCATATCTGGGAGGTGCCAGTCTTTGTTTTCTGGGAGGGGGATGCTTTGGTGGTTTGCTGGTGCGTTGGCAAAGTGGTGGCGGCCAGCCCGTGGCTTTCAGCGGCCCTGGGAATAGGGTTCAATAGGATGAAGCACGATCTCGGCACTGGCTTAAGCCACGAAAGCTGTGGCAGTGGCTCCAACAAAGGCATCCACTTGAGGAAACCCGTGCACATAAAGGTAACAGGGTCGCTCGGTTGTTTGCGGGGGAAACCCGCGCAACATGGGAAGGCGCGCGCTTCCGCGCTCCTGGGCGGGCAAACTCCGGGGAAACCCCGTGAGCATACTCCCCATTTATTTAAAACACCCCAATCAGCTTGAAATTTATTTGTTTGGTTGCTCGCTCGGCTTGCTTGGCGTTCGCGGTTGGGTTGCCGCAATCACTGGCTTCTGTCGAGGGCCGCTTTTCCTTGGACCCCACCAAACGAACAGTGCACCTTTGGTACTGATCCCATGGAGTCCCGGACGTCTACATGGCTTCAAAGATGGATCCGGCCGCTCTAAGCCTTCGAGAACTGCGGCCGGTTTCTTTTTTTCCGGATCTCCCCAACAAAAACGCCACCACGCACCTGTCACCGGGGATCCCCGCTGGCCCAGCTCCCGGGCCAGGCGCCGCGCCTCCTGGCTTTCGCGGGTCTAGGGCTGCGCCATATAACAACAGCCAGGCGCAAAAGAGGTGACTCCCGAAAAAATAAAAAATAAACAAAAAACGGGAGAACAACAAGAGGTGATTCCTGAAAAACCAAAAAAACGGAGGGGGGGGGGGGGGAAAAAACAAATGAAGAAAATGCCGTGATTTTCATGGCCACTTTGAGAGATGTGAGTCCGAGTGATAGAAAAAAACAAAGCCCCAGGACGGGCTGAGCGGGCTGGCGTTCCTTGTGCTTTGCCTGAAACACCAATCCCCCTGTCGAAATCAAACGGGGAGGGGGAACTGGGTGCAAGGAATCCGCGATCTCCACCATAGCGGGACAAAACCACGTTCTGTGCCAAGAGGCCATCCCCAAGACTTACGGCGGGGCTTTCCCAAAGCCCAGCCAAGGGGTCTACGTACCCTCGAAGAATGGATCGAAAAGGAGTCAAACAGGAGCAAAAGAACAGCTTCATGTTGCAGATCCCCCCGGATCATGGTTTCAAAGCGGTGCAGGATTTTGTTGGGAAACCGTTGTTTGTTGGAACGTACACGGGGAATCATCATTCATGCAAGGCTTCTTAGGTGGTGCAGGATTTCGTTGGGAAACCATCGTTAATATTTGCATGGGGAATCATCATTTTCCCGACCTTTGGTGGTGCGAAATGGATTTCGCAACCGTCCACAGTAGGGTCGGACCCGGGCATGTCCATCTCCTCCACGTGACTCTTGGAGAGGCGTTCCAGGATCTCCGCCCAGGCTGCGTTCACATCTGCCGACGCCATCGAAAGCTAAGGCTGAGAGCCTCTCAGGACAATGCTTTGACAAGTAGCCGTTTGACACATGAGGGGAAGAGGGTAAGGGAAGAGATTAAAGCCGTCACCACATGATTGCAAACGTACATCAGGAATGGTCCAGTCTTCAGCCCATTGAATGGCAAAGGCCAGGAACGCTACTTTGTGGAAGGGCTTGCCTCAAGAACAGAAAACCTAGTGAGTGGTACTTCAGCATGTGCTGCAACAGCAAGTAATCATCCCTGACCCAGCTGCAATGTGGAGCTTGCAATCCTTAAGAGGAATACCTAAATAGATTGGACTAGATCATATAAATCAAACCCATCAGCAGAAAGTGCTGCTCACAGAATTCGCATTCAATATCTTCAGATACACGCGTCACTCTACCAGCTCCGCCTTGCCATCTCAGCCTTGAGCCGTGCAGCAACGGCGCTACCGTATTGCTAACGCCCAGCCCGAAAGCTTTCCGGCTTGAAAAGGTGTGGCTAAGCCGAGCTTCTAGGGGTTGTTTCCCCATTATTTGCAACCGTCGTTCTTTCAAAAACCAGCTGTTTCTCCAGGGTTTTGGGTAGTTTTTTTAGAAAGAAGGATGCCTGGAAAGAATGGAAATGGAAGGTACCCCTGGAAAGCTTATAAGCATTTGCCAAGGTCGTTTTGGAATGGCAAAATCAAAGGACTTTTTCCGCTATCCCCTGCGCGTCAAAGCCCTGTCCGAAAAGCAAATGGATCTATGGGCCCGTGCAAGAAAGGGATCTCTAATGTAACATAGGCGAGCCAAAAAACACCGAAGGCCGCAGTCATGTTTTTCTCGGCTTCAGTTGAGACAACGTATTTTGGCCGGAGAGGAGCAAACCTAGAAGCACCCTGCTTACGAGCGTAGGTGCGTAAGGTGCAACTAGCGTGCAGATTTAGCATGCAATGCTGCTGTGACCACTACGAATGCAAGGCCATTCTTGCTCTAGAGGGACACCCTCAACAAACAAAGAAGAATAGAAAGCGACTTGCTGCGTGTCTGGGTATTGGACTGGGAAGAATGTGCCAGGCTATGCAATCCCAGGAAGTATCCCAGTGGAAGTCATGGAAGTCGAAGCATCCCGCAACACACCACTATGGCCGTGTCTCCATACTTTCAACTCGTTGAACTCATGCATGGAGAAATCTGGCTCGGAGGATGGCTGATGTCAAATTCCATGTTGCCTAAGGGTAGCGGATATTCCTCCAATGTTTGTTCCTATGCGACAGCCTGCACCTGTATGATGCAACATGCAGCGTAGCATCAAGCCCGGGACACAAGAAAGCAAGCCAGTCATGTTTGCTCCAAGCGCGGAGGCAACGGCTGGGCACAAAACAAATGTCACGCCCTCTGCCAACTTGTCTGTCTTTCCAAGTTGTTGGTTTCCCCTCGGCACTGCGACAAGAACAACTAGACCAACATACCCAAGAGCCCCAAGAGCGCGGCAGCATGCGTATCCCAGGACCAAGAGCAGCACCACCTGCAAAAGCTGACGGGCAACCTTTCAGGCTGCCACAGGGCACAGCCGCTTGACCGTTGATTCCTTGTCCATTCTTTTCAACCATCGTTCTTTGCAAAAACCCATCGCTGTTTTTTTCAGGGTCTTGGGTGGCTTTGTAGAAAGAAGGATGCCTGGAAAGAAAGGAAATGGAAGGTACCCCTAGAGGAATGTCAAAGCTGTTCAAGTATAGGCAGGTAGTTGTTTCATGCACTTCCTGGAAGCTCGCCATCTGACAGCGTCACAAAAGACCCCCTTGAAGTACAGCACGCATTGCAACTCACAGGTCCCTCAAGGCAAAGAGTCAGATGATCGGCAAAAACAACACAAAGCAAAGCACAGGAAGAAATTGCAAGAAGCCCTGTGCTGAATTGCACGAAGTGATGATGTTCAAAACGTCCCATCCAGGGATTGAACTGCTTGCTGTTCTTTTCCTGGGCGTCGCTGGGCTCTCAGCATTCCCACATCATCGCAGTTCCGTTTGATTACCCTAGAACACTGTGCTAAATTTAACTTTGATTCGTGCCCTGACACACATAGTGGTTCAACCTACTGTGGATGGGCGAAATCCTGCACCACCTGGAATTGTGGAATGATGATTCCCCTGTAAATACCCATAATGGTTTCAACTATGGTTTCAAAGTGGCGCGATGGCATTTTGTCTATCCACAGCACGATCAAACTTCACCTTCAGTCGAACCGAATCAGAGACTCCGAATGAAAGGCGCTACCAATTCTCAAACATGGAGAATCATGAGTCCCACGCGCTCAGCCCGGCAAACCGCAAACATTCAACTGGTTGCCGTCGAACATATATGCTTAGGCAACCAAGACCAGCAAAACAAAAGCAACACCTATACAAACCACATGCGCCGAAGCTTCAGTGGTAGAATCACAAGGAACACGCTGGCACGCATACCTTGCTTCACACTTCCTCCAGGGCTTCGTCCTCGGATGAAATACGAAAAGCTCGTTTGGTCCACTCCAGCAGATCCTCCACGTCCCCAGCTCCCGGCAGTGTGAGATGTGTTGAAGTCACAGTGTCAGTGTGTCCAAATGTTGTGCTACTTGCTCGAAATGGCCCTGAAATTCATCCCGCTTAACGTGCCCGTCGTACATTTATGGCGGCGTTGGAACTCGTGCTGGACACAACATTTCTAAAACTTATTTTTCAGACTTCGTTCTACTGCTCGCCGACTCTGTTGTCGTGGGGTCTTTGCCTTTACCAGCCTCAAGGTGCTTAAACTGAAATGTGTCTGCGTGATGACTAATTTAAGGCGCACTGCACTCCCCCCGGTTGAACCAGTAGAACACTTGGGTATGTGTCAAAATAGGGATACCCCTAAAACAATTGGTTTCCTTTCGGTTTCCCTTCAACACCGCCCCCAACTGGCACCAACTCAAAACAAGCCCCATCCCCCAAACAGGGTCACCTAAAACCACATGGGTGCGCGGGTGTGTCTTTTCTTCGGGGACCCCCTAAATGCATTTCGGCTTTCCTTGTGGTTTCCCTTTACCACCCAAACAGGGGCCTCTGACCGACCGACACATCCACATGCGACGTCCAACCCGTCCGCTCGATCCGCGCACCGCGAGGGCCAAGTAGCCCAAGGACTCCCAACAGCCATGGGCGAGGAAGCACATCTCGGGAGGCAAAGTGCGGCTCGCTCGGGGCTCGGGGCGCTCGATACAGAAATGGGTTTGGTGGCGGTCCTTTTGGTTTCGCCTTACCCTAAGGGTCCGATTCGACTGTTTTTGGGCTCTCCAAATGTCTCCATTGGAAAGTCCGGGGTCTGCATTGGAGGGGGCCTTAAAACCAAAAAACATGGGTGAGTCTCCATCTTTCTTTCAACACCTCCCTAGAAATGGCTTCGGTTGTCTGTCAATTCTGGCTTCGCCTCCTTTAAGATGACTAAGTGGGATACCCACCAAAAAAGAAAACACACCCGAATGTTTGATGGTCTACTTAGGAGTCTACTGTATAGTTTGTCTATGTCTGTTGTTTGGAGGACCAAACATGATGTTCGCCTTTTGATTCATCTACCCATGTCTGCCCTAAACATACAACAGGTAATTGTAGGTCCCGAGCTTAACCAGACTCAGACCTCAAAGTTGGCTTGCGGGTTGAAGGCGAGTTAAGTCCGGCTGGGTTATGTGCATGCCCTGGGGAACGTTTGGGGGGGGGTTTGTTCAGTTGGACACCACAGGGAGCGGGTCCCATGTTTGTTTTGGGGTCCCAGACAAACCGTGTGACAGTTTCCTGCAGGGCAACCGAACCTCATGCAGAAAGGTGCCAGCGTTCAGGAGTTGGGGATTTGACCATGATAGGTGCGAGTCATAAACTGGCGTTCCTTGTTGAGGCTCGGAAAACCTCATTTCGTGGTTGGTTGAAGGTCCCTCTTCTTGACACCTCACAATCCAAGAATAAACTGAGCCTCACAAGCTTCAACGGAATTTTCACCTGGGTATTGAATATCAACTTCCCTCCAGTTTTTGGTTTGGCGGTTAAGCGAAGTTTCCCATTCACCCTCTACAAGAGCCAGGGATCCAATACCCAAAATGCCAATCCAAACCTCCAAATATCAAATAGAGGGAAGCTGAGGGTGTTTTGGAAGAAACTCAATACACAATTGAGACGATGTGTGTACACATATATGAACGAATGTCCTATGCAATGTATACTCCTACCGATTGCATGGAGACATTTGAGTCATTCATCGTGGCTGCCCCCCAACGGACATATTTTTCACCGTGTGTTCTGAGGCAACCCATCTATGGCCACCATATTCTGTGGCCATGCTCCAACCAACCAACCGACCAACCAACCAACCAACTGACCAACCAACTAGCCAACCGACCAACCAACCGACCAACCAGCCAGCCAACCATCCACCAACCACCCTCCGACCAACCGACCAACCAACCAACCACCCTCCGACCAACCAACCAGCCAACCAGCCAACCATCCACCAGCCAGCCACCGACCAACCGCCCAGCCAACCAACCAACAAACCGACCGACCAACCAACCAACCGACCAACCAACCGACCAACCGACCAACCAACCGACCAACCAACCCACCAACCAACCAGCCACCAACCGACCAACCAACCGACCAACCAACCACCAGCCAGCCAGCCAACCATCCACCAACCACCCTGCGACCAACCGACCAACCAACCAGCCGACCATCCACCAACCACCCACCGACCAACCACCCAGCCAACTTCCCACCAACCACCCTCCAACCAACCGACCAACCAATCAGCCAACCATCCGCCAACCACCCACCGACAGACCAACCGACCAACCAACCGACCATCCACCAACCACCCACCGACCAACCACCCAGCCAACCACCCGCCAACCACCCTCCGACCAACCGACCAACCAACCAGCCAACCATTCATCAACCACCCACCGACCAACCACCCAGCCAACCAACCAACAAACCGACCGACCAACCAACTATCCAACCGACCAACCAACCGACCAACCAGCCAGCCAACCATCCACCAACCA